CTCTCTCTCTCTCTCTCTCTCTCTCTCTCTCTCTCTCTCTCTCTCTCAAAAACACCAGTTTCGGTTGGAATTTTACCAGAAACACTCCCCTGACCCTCCCATGCAAATAAACAGACAAAGCATGACAGAGATTGAAGCTTAAGTCAGGAGACTTCTGAGAGATCCAAACTGCTGAAGACCAAGAAACTTAAGCACAAAAGGTAGAGGTTAAAATATTTACCATAACTAAGATTTTGCCTCTGCAATTACTGTGTCCCTAACTGTACAATCAAGATATTAGTTGGCTCCAGTGACCAGAAGGAATAAAATGTCACTATTGCAACTGCTGTATTTCCTGCTCCCATCTCTCCAAATTAAAAAAAAAGGGCCCAATACAAATGCAGAAGTTAATTACTTAGTTAAAGCCCAAATCCTAGCCTGAAACTCTGTTCTTCCTGTAATATCACATTCTTTTCTTCTTGTGTAAACTTTTCATTATACAGGAGACATCTTTATAATACAATAATTATGGTCATAATGTAACTGCTGGTAATATAACTCCTGCATTAGAAAAGGCAGCATGTTCAAGTAATGTTGTTTTAATACAATTTATGTACAGCAGAAAACAACCCAACTTGATCATTTAGACCATGATCAATGTGAATTAGTGTCTCACTGAGATAAATCATTTGATCACTTAGAATCTGATCAATGAGAATCAGAGATAAAACATTTATCATGCACATTTGGTATATCAGATTCATTCACACAGTACTAAAGTGGGTTATAAGCAGGCATCAATAAGTGTTACAGTGTACAGAGGGTCTGTCAGCTTGCAGATACGAATACACATACAGCAGTGTATAATTTTAATCTTAGTGATAAGAAGAGTCATTTAATAAAGCAGCTAAAATCATTGAAAAACTGCAAAAGCTGAACTTTCAAGAAAAGGAAGAAAAAAATTAAATTAGAATTTTAAGTAGAAATGTTAAGTAATATGAATCAACTGACTCAAATTCAAGAAGAGTTTTGGGCCTATTTAACAGAGCAACTTTGGAATCACAGTACCATTAGTTCGATTAATCTAATATTCCAAATTGAAGTCACATTGACATTCAGGCACAGTGGCTTTTCCAACTAACAGAATTATAAATCTAGCAGTCAAAACCTTATTTAATTCTTTTACAGCCAATTAAGCAGGATCTTTAAACACTGTTGCTTAAAACTGTCCACAATCCACATGTGTAATTACAGGGAACATGAGAAACACCTGCTGATACCACTGGAGCATCATCTTTAGGCTTCACTAATTCATTTGTGATACAGCTATTAAAGCACCAAGAGGAGACCTAAATAATATGTCACAGTGAGGCCCCTCATGACCAAGGACATGTTAAAATGAAAGAATTTTTTACAAGGAACCTTAAAATATACAGTAATATATGCAAAATCCATTTTATCTTTCAAATGTTTTGCATAAAGCCCCTGTTATTTGAAAATCACCTTGACTTTTACAAGGTAACTAAGCTATAAGTACTTCATAGGGATAACCCAGGCTTCTTTCAGGAGACCAAATTTATAAGCTAGATTTCAGCAATGTTATTCAAGGATAAAATCCTAAAATCCGATGCACCATCACACAACTTTTGTTCATATACAGTTTCAATGCTGTGTAGAATTGTAAGGTATCTTAAAGAACATGTAGGCCAACCCTTCATGCTATCAATCAGGAAACTGAAGCAGAGAAAAGCAAAACGACTTTACTAGTATTGTAGTCATGTACTCCAATAGTTTACCTTCCCCCCAATATTTATAAAATACTTGCACTAACAGAACCAAACTCTCTTAAAACTTCATCAAGTTTATAGGACACGTGCGAGTTATAGATTAAAACTCATTTCTGTACATATTTTGATGACAATTCTAGATGTAGCTTGTAAACAAAACCCTGCAGATGGAGAAATCCAATTTTGATCCTGGGCTAGCAGCTGCCAATAAAGGATGTAGATATAACAATTCACCTTTCAAATGTAATATTTTAGGTTTTGTTTTGAATAATTATGACAAAACGCTTCATTTTAAAAGAATGATTTCTTGGCTGCAAGTTAAAAAGCTCTTTAAGAAAAGAAAAAGAAAAACATCTTTCATCCTGTATGAAGCCTCAGTTCTCACAGAATTCCTTTGACATACTATCAAAGTATACCTGGGTTTATTACAACTGTACAACACTATTAGTCTAATATCCATGGGCACTTCCATCTTCTGCAGGTTTTATTCCTTGTTCTATGGTTTTCTCAACTAACAGCAGACACCTGCAGGGCTGAGACTTGAGTTAACACGTAAGAATTCTCAGAATAATACCTATTAGCTATTATGGTGGGATGTTGATAAAACCGGTGTTTAACCATTTACAGCCTAAACGAACCTCACTCACATTCCAACTGTTATGAAGAAAATTCATCTTTTTTCATACAATGCTGAAGTGATACTTGTGGAAGCTCTCCATCTCTATCAAGACCCTAAAATAAAATTTCCCCCAGATAAAGGAAAGGGATCATAGACCCAGAGCCTGAAAGAACCTCAGGGGCTACACCTAATGCAACCCTCTCATTTTATAATCAAGGAAACTGAAGCCTGAGGAGGAGAGGTGATTCGTCCAAGGTCATAAAGGTAGGTCAAGTCAGAATTTGAACCCGAGTTCTCTGACTTTAGGGCCAGTTTTCTATCCAGTGTAATATGCTACAACCAAAATATGAGATGAGATGCTTTTCAAAGTCACTTCGAGTTGGTGCCTATCAGGGAATGCTGACAGAGAATTCAAGATAGTCAAAGATCTTCACAGTTGTTTGGCACTTAGTAGTCATTTAACAAATATCTGCTGGTGAAGGGAACAAATGTTAGCAATGTTAGATTGGTCGTAGAGTAAGGAACAAAAAACGTAGGCAAACACAAGGAAAATAAAGTATTAACACTATATCACCAACACTTAGCACAGTGCCTGGTACAAAGTAAGTATTTAATAAATCCTTATTGACTGTAGTATTAACACATTAAAATGTGACTCTCTTTGAGATGAATGGCTTATGTGTCAGCAATCAGAAGGGATGAGGCACAGACAGCCATAATTTATCCATCAGCAAACACTGGTTTTATCAGCTACCTTGGAGTCTCTATGCTACAATTCACTAGTCTCCTCTCCATGCCCCCATTAACTTTTTAACACACCCTCCTCAATACATTTTCTCATCTTACTTCCTTTTTCAGAAACTTCACTGGCTTAGCTCCTAGTTGTCATTCATCCTCTACTGGCCTACCTGCATCTCTGGCAACTTTTTTAAAAAAAATTAATCATAACACCTTCATAGCCATACCATCCATGTACACTGACATTTTCAAAACAGCTATTATTGCTCCTTTATGTTAAAATAACCCAAAATTGTCAATCTCCTCTCTCTCAAACATATGTGTTTATATTTTAAGGCCGATAATTCTTTCCCACTATCATCTCTCCCATAAAAAGAGATATTAAGCCCCTGGGGGAGGGAGGTTTTGGTTTTTTGTTTTGTCTTTTAAAATTCCTAATCTCTGGAGAGAACATTTTTTAAAAAAGAACACCAAAACATTATACTATACAAACTACACAATATGTGAAAAAAATGGTTTCACCTTAAGATTTCATTATTTTATCAAGCATGTATAAACAGATGCATAAAGAAAAAGGTCAGAGTCAAGTGTAATGTTTCAGCTAAATATGTCACAATACCACTTTTTTGTTAGCAATTTCCCACTTACAGGGGTTGCACAACAGGACCATTTATACACTTATAGAAATTATGAATGATGTCTTCTTGCTTAATGTGAGCTCTGGCAGAAAAAAGAAAGTCCAGGGTCATGGGTCAGAGCTACTTTGGTTCATCAACTACAGAACATTCATTTAAGTATTCTAAGGATTAATAAAGTTAACAATTGAATATTACTTTTATAACCAAGGGCAAAGTTAAGCCACTGATTTAAATGCATGTGAAGTACATATGAATGGATGAAAATGACTTAAATGTGAAGAGGACTGACAATAATTTCGGACAAAACTCACATTTTAATATGTGAGAATGAAAAACTTCTCTGTTCTCAATCTGGCTAGTATAATAATCCAAATAAAACTTTTATTACCATTGTTTTCAATTTCCCTGTAGCTCACAAAATAAATTGTGCTGGGATGACAACAAGCTTTCATCGAATGCCTTCAATTTCACTCCAGGAGAAGCAAATAATATACTTCTATCACTAGCTTTCTTCCTAGCATTCCTAAGTGCTATAGAACCAAACAGCTTTCCCACTTCTGAAAAGGAATAGAATTATAATTCTATTCTTTAAAAAGTGTAAATAATTATAATAATAAAAACTTACTTGAACTTAGATTCCACTTCCTCAGCAGCCCTCTGGTATTGTTCTGTGGTAACTTTGTAAAACTCTGCACTCTACAAAGAAAATATCAATAGTCACATCTCTACTATATAAAAGCACTGAATAACATATAGGTTTCCGTTCATAACAGAAGGCATTGATATCCAAATGTATGTATATACACATATGTACAACATAAACCCATTCAAATGATATAAAAAAACATGAAATTATGGTTTTGGAATTAAATTACAGTTTTAACCACTCATTATTAAAACTGATACGCCACTTATAAGGGCAGGTTGAACTCTTATGCATATATCATCCTTGGGCATATTTAGAAAATCCCTTCCTTTTTTGAGACCTGGAGATAAGGGCTGTCTAAGATCAAGGGTTCAAATTTATCCTAAATTTCAACTTTTTCAGTTAATTCATTAATATTTTAAACTAGATGTAGATAGATCATGGTTTCTATAGATGATATGTAGATTTGGTTTTCAAGTGCACCAGAGACCTTGATAAAACAAAGATTACTATTACATCAGAGTCAACAAGCAACTTTTCACAGACTTGAAAATCTAACTGAAGTGAGTCAATATGTAACTAAGCTTCATGTTTCATAAAAATGTCTTTCCACCATTCCTAGGATAAAATTGTTAGCAACTCTATATGTCCAAATAGAGTTTAAAATTTAAAGCTTCCCTTTTATTTTTTCATTAATTTATTTTTTTTTTAATCAGCAAGCATTTTCCCCTCTCTCCCACATTAACCTTCTCCCCTTGCACCACAAAGAAAAAAATGTATATATAAAACCCTTGTAACAAACAAACATAGTCAAAACAAATCTTCACACTGGGAACATTCAGAAATGTATGTCTCATTTTGTATGTTTGTCTATCACCTGTCAGTCATGAAGTAGACAGCATTGTTCATTGGTTCTCTGGAATTATGGGCGATCATTGCTTAAATCTTTCAGAAATGTTCATTTTTACAACTGATGTAGTATAAACTATTCTTATTCTGGTCACTTTACTCTGCATCAGTTCAGGAGTCTTCCTAGGCTTTTCTAAAATGGTCTTTTTCCACTTCTTACAGTACAATACTATACATCATATCATTTAAATACTGTAACTTGTTCCACCACTCCCCAGTTGATGGATACCTTTTAGTTTCCAGTTCTTTAACACTACAAAAAGAGTCGCTATAAATATTTTTGTATACACAGGACCTTTCCATTTTTCTTTGCTCTCTTTGGGGTAAGGGCCTAGGAATTTTGAAAGTTTCTCTTTTCCTGAAGAACAGAAATAAAAATAGGAAAACTAGACTCTTGTGTCTGGAATACTTAGGTTAAAAACAAGCCTTACCACAAAGGAATAGCATAAATGACCTCTAGAATTCTCTTCTAGTTGTAAGTACTTAGGAAATATCTTGAAAATCATACAACTATACAAAGGAAAAGGATGTGACTAGATCAGAGGTCCACTGTCCACCCACATCCCTCATCCAGACCTAATTATTTATTGGTATAGTAACAGAAGTTTCACATGCATGACTTGAGGTAGTTTATTTTTTAATAAATCACTGTTGGTCAGTAAGAAAATGAAAATGAAATCCTTTTCACATCAATGACCCCTTTGCATTTAGCAATCTGAGTTGTCCAATGACAGTCACATGCAGGTTCCTTGGCTATAGATAAAATCAATAGGTATGTGATTAGACAGAAGACTGAGTATGGTTGGAGACATGGACAGGTCACCATTTGAAATGATGAATGGTTCTCTATCAAACTCTAGTCCCCTACGACACTAACATTTACTATAATCTTATTTGGGCTATGATTTATCTTTCTTGCACCTGATCAATAAAGATGAACAGAGCAGTTGTTAGGATCGGTTGTAATTTTTTATAATTTTCAAGCATGAAGGTACATTTGTGACACAAAGACAATATTTGAAGTGTACTACTTCTGCATTTTTTTAAAATTGCAATTTGAGGGATCAATTGAATAGTTACACACATAAAAGAGTTTTAATTCAACTGGAGGTTAGATGTATTAAAAAATTATGTTTTCCCAAGTTGATTACCTTCTATGTTTATATTACACTTCATAACAATTTCCCTTAAAAATATTTTCCTCTTTTTAAAGCAAACACAACACATACACTCATGCTTTTTGCAAAACGGTTGTAACACTTAAAAAAAAAAAACCTCTTGTAATCTAGACACATAGCTTCCCAAAGTGGGCTATACTGCCCCCAGGGGCACCAGAATGATTCAGTGGCGGTGGTAGTAGTGTGACATTATGCAAATTAAAAAAAAAAAAACCAATTACATAGTTAAAGAAAGTAGATTTCCACAGGGGTGCTGAAAAATTTTTTTAAAGAGGGGAGTAGGCCAAATAAGTTTGGTAACCTCTAGATTCTAGAGGGAGTAACAATGACTAGTTCATAAACCAGCACTAAATACTGATAAGAGACATTCAAAATTATGTCAATTAAACATTACATTACTATAACATCCATTACTATGCTGCCAAAGCAATAGCTTCTAGTTTAAATTTTTTTCTCTGATTTTGAGATAAAAGTTTGGCATAGTGAAAACAAATTTAGACTAGACAAATCAGGAGCCTTGGATTCTAGTTCTGTTTTTCACTTATAAGGCCTTAATTAGACAAGTGACAGAAAGTTAGAATGAACGAAGGAGGGGCTCTTAGGCAACCATTAAATCAACCCTATTATTTTATAAATGAGGAAACTTAGAGGTAACTGGCAAAAATTGTGTTCAACACACACACACGTACTACATATATGCACACACACATATAAATAAATATAATCACTACATTTGACATTTTTTCATATCAGTAGAATTTTTTATAACACACGCCATCAATGCTTAACATTTGTACCACTTTAGAATAATATTTTCACTTAAGGACTCTTTCAGCTATTTAAAAGTCTTTAAAAACTATGTTGTATTTTTACAAATATGGGCACATGTAAAATCTCACAGTATCTGACTTTTGGACTAGGTGACCAAATTCCTCCCTAGACTAAAATTACAGTTTAAAATTAGTGCAATTTGACCGGAGAGCACAAAGACCCAGTTCTGCAACAGAGGAAAGAAAAACCTATGTGCCCAGGTGGGAGATATTTGGTAGTATGCAAGAGAAGGCAGAAAACTCGGAGAGTTCATAAAGGTGGCAACAAGAAGGCTCAGAGAATAAGATGTGGCATAAAGTTCAGACTAAAGCTAGAATAGGGTTTACATTGCCAGGGGATGCAGAAAAAGCTCAGCTTTAGAGACAGAATTAGAGACAATAACACAGAGAAGAAACATTTCTTAGAAAGCCAGGGACAGAAGGATCTGATTTTATAATTGGCTAGGATTCAGGTGGTTGTACAAAGCTATCAACCACGAAAACATACGAGACAGACAAACAGTAAGGTAGAAAAAAGCTAGACTTTATGAACCTGAAACTGTCAACCTGATTATTATTTGTAACAGTTCACATTTATATCACCTTATGACTTATTTAGATTTAGAGCTGAAAGTGACCTTAGCCATCCTCTAATCTAGCAGTTCCCAAAAACCCTTTCACAAAAGAGATGTGCTGTGAAACTTTAGATTTATTTAATATATTACTCATACTATTTTTTCAACAATTTAATGATTAAGGTACCACTAACAAATTTTTTAGCATGAACTGCTTGGCACATTATCATCAACTTCTCAAAGGGTTCATGAACCACTAAATGAAAACCATTAATTTAATCCAGTTCTCTCATTTTACAAATAAGGAAACTGAGGACCTGAGGAAAAGATGTGACTTGCCCAAAGGTCACATAGAAGGACCAGAGTTGAGATTTGAACTGATCTCTCTGAGTCTCCCAGTGAGCAATTAGGCATCCTGATAACGGAAAAAGGAAGTAGAATTATCAAAACAGCCTCAAGAGGACAAGTGGAGAAGTAGAGTAGGAACTGAAAAAATCACCTTGTCATATTGGCATCAACGGAATGTAAGATTTTGAGCTGAGAAGGGCTGTAAAGCTCAGTCCAACCCCCTTGGTTACAGATAAAGGAACAGAGGAGCAAAAGAAGTGAGGTGGTCTTCCCAACATCAAATGGGCAGCAGAGCCACTCATTCCTCAAAGCCACTCCCTCTTGTTCTAAATCCAGAACTTTGATGCAGTCTAATCAATCTGTCCTTTCTTAGTAAAGAATGAGGAACAAGCTGGAGATGAACAAAATGGCAAGATGGGGAAATTAAAGAGCTACACAAAGAGACAAGTACGTGTATATAAAATCTACAATTAAAACCAACATTTAACCTCGGGGAATAATTTCAATCTTCCCACCCAATAAGTAATACAATTTAATGCATTCTCCTCCATTCCCCAGACTATTAGAGGTAAAAGAGCAAAAAAAGGAGGAGGATGGAAGATGATTACTAACAAACTGAAGATTTGGCTCCTGAATAATGGAGACTTAAATATTACCACCTAAGCCTATACTGGAAAAGGGAAGGAGAGCAGAAGGAAAATGTATTTTCTACACAAAAACTACAGGTACGATTTTTGTTTTAAGACTTACCATTGAATAAGCCTCCTGAATGACTATCAACCTAGGACACTTTTTGCTATGCAAGGCAAGTAAAATCAGTGTTTTCAAATGATTACTATTTATGCTAAATACTATTTAGCACAATCATTTAGCAACTTCTATTTAAATTTTTCATGTAAGAAAGCTCCTATTTAGAAAGACATATGTGATGGATACCTATTGCTACACTAATAAACAATAATCAAATATAAGTAAAAGTAACATGAGATATCATTTTATTATTAAAAAAAGAGATAAACAAACCCTATTTGCACTGCTGCTTTAAAATGTACAGACCCTGGTTTAGCTGCACAGTGAACCAGCGTTCTCCTTTTGTTACTGAACTGTTTTTTTTTTTTTAAACATCTTGGCTTTACCACCTGATCAAATGCTGTCTTAACATACAGTTCATACAATCTAATGGAAGATGCCTAGTCAACTGTCATGTGGCTAATAACTTATTTTATAAAGA